CTGGCTGAGGTTAGTTATATATGTTAGATTCTTCTTCCTTGCTTCGTGTTATAAACATAGCTAGTGTGTACAATATTGAAAGGTAACTGGAAATCAAATCCAATTTTATTCTTCCAATGTCATGTTAGAGATTAGAAGTCTACATTTATACTGACACTAATATTATTTTAGGACAAATTATAGTAATGCGAGTAATTCTACATCAAATGGGAAAATTTAAAGATGATGTAATTCAAAATCTTAATTCTCAATGTACTTCTAGAATCCACCTATATCTAATATTGGCAAGATAGGAATTGTATATACGTGCATGCTTTTTAATTCTATTGGTTGCTAGATCCTTGCAGGTAATTAGGATGTTAGTATCTTAAGCCCTTGTTTGAGCTTCATTTTTCTAAAAATTCATTTTTTCAAAGCTCATTTTCAACCATACATTCTCCAATAAAATAATATTACACCCAAATTCAAGACTTTTCCTAAACTACATATTCTCGATCAATCTACTATTTTTAAAATGCATTTTTTCTCCAAAATGGAGCTCAAACAAGGCTTCAGTTGGCAACTTAAGTTTGTGTCCTCACTTTAACTAAATGGGATAATTGAGACTGTTCGTAGAAGTAAATAAATCAGGGTCTAGAGGAAATATACCGAGTTTTTGTTTCTTTTTTATCTTTTATTCGGACATATACTGATTTCATTTTCTGCAGTATACAAAATATATATTGTCACAAAAAGTTGTTATGGAAGGTACTAACATTTGACTGGTATTTATGGACGCACAGAGAAGAAATTGGCTATGATGGATGGAGGCTTGATTTTGTACGTGGGTTTTGGGGTGGTTATGTCAAGGACTACATAGAAGCAACCGAGCCTTATTTTGCCGTAGGAGAGTACTGGGATTCCCTTAGTTACACATATGGTGAAATGGATCACAATCAAGATGCACATAGACAGAGAATCATTGACTGGATAAATGCTACTAATGGAACTGCTGGGGCATTTGATGTCACAACAAAAGGGATTCTTCATTCTGTAAGCTTATTGTTTACAAATTTCTTATTTTGATTAATTTTTATTTTTCAATTGACCTACTTTATCTTTGGGCATGAGATCAAGATAAACAGAAGACTCCTCTGTATAAGCATTTGTCTATATGTATTGCTCAGGCACTTGAACGATGTGAATATTGGCGATTATCGGATGAGAAAGGAAAACCTCCTGGAGTGGTGGGATGGTGGCCATCTCGTGCTGTTACTTTTATTGAGAATCATGATACTGGTTCTACTCAGGTTTGACCTCTTATTTACCTAGTATATCATTTTCTTTGCACTTCACTGTTGTGAGTTGGTAAAACATTAGTTCATCATTAATCATGTAATTCAAAAACATTCAATTATTGGGCACAAGAAAAGGATTCTTAAGAAAAGCTCCATGCTTTTTGGCTGTTGAGCCAAAGAAAAGAGACCATCTTGACACCTGATACTTCACAAGATGAAAAGGGATGAAACTCAACGATCACATTATTATCATTAGTAAATTGTGAACAGAAATCAGATTTTAGTGAATAGGGGGTATATGCAGGGTTCCTTTTAAATCTAGAGAACGGGAGGTAGAGGGAAGTAGCTGAGTCAATGTGTGCAACTCTTAAAACTGTACCATTGCCAAGGACAACTTTATCTTGGCCATCATATTTCGACTGAATGGAGAGATTAGCTAGATCCAATGTAATATTGTGAGAGGCAGCGGAATTAAGAAGCCATTTGCCATTCTTAGGTGCAAAAGAAGTGGCACAATTTGCAGCAGGTCGAGTTTGCAATTTGTCACAATTTTTGGCAGTGCATCAGTGAGATATTTTAATAGATGATTAAAACCGTCCAAAAAATGATTCTCCCTTAATGTGATATTTTAATATATTATAGATTACCATTCTCCATATTATTTCTCTAGGTTAGGTTTTTAGGAATCTTTCTGATTTCTATTTTTTATTTTTTCAATGTCATGTCTAAAAGTTCTTGTAAAACTTGATGGTCGTTTTATTTTTATGTTGCAGACATCTAATTTGGGATTAGCTTGTTTATTTCCTTCTTAAGGCTAAACTATTATCATCTGGTCGTTTTATATAAAAAATGTTTAAGTTAGACAAATAGTCTTTCCTGCTGCTAGAGCTAAAAAACTCTTAATTTTGATTTGTTCAACAACGATATCCTATTTCTGCATTTGTGTCCCGTTCTGAACTTCGAATGACAATGTATTCCTATCCCCCATCTCATATATTTGATTTCTTTAATACAGATTTACATGATCAGCTGGTTTATTAATTGGAACTGATAAATTATGAACTATTTTCTCTTAATTGTTTCTTCTATCTTGAAGGGTCATTGGAGATTTCCAGGTGGAAAAGAAATACAAGGTTATGCCTACATCTTAACTCACCCAGGAACACCATCAGTTTTCTACGATCACATATTTTCTGAATATCAGTCTGAAATATCAACACTTATCTCCATCAGAAACCGGAATAAAATCCAATGTCGGAGCACAGTAAGTTGTGGATGTTTTCATCATCATATATTTTGCCTTTTGTGGACTAGGTGGTTTTCCTTTACTTTGTCATGTGCTAGATTTTCTAATGATTTGTCTCGAGCCAAAGTTGCTCAACCATAATCAATTAGAATTATAAACCAACCAGATGATAAAAATTCCAATAAAATAACCATGATTAGTATCTCATGAGAGAGATAAATTTATCACTGTGAATTACTTTTTCTGATTTTCATGTAGCCCTAAGAAGAGCTGACGACTGCCTATTTTTTCTTCAATGTTTCTTTATCTTAGGTTCAAATAATGAAGGCAGAGAGAGATGTTTATGCAGCAATGACCGACGAAAAGGTGGTGATGAAAATTGGACCAGGTCATTACGAGCCTTCAAATGGCTCCCGGAACTGGTCGTTAGTGGCTGAGGGAAGAGATTACAAGATCTGGGAAACATCATGAAAGAAATCAAAACAGCTTTCTTTGCATTACAACTGCAGAATTTCTTCAACAAACTCGTACGATTCTACATACACGGTAGGGTGCTGCATTTATTCAAGGATGCTTTTTCTATTTGATCGAGCATTCATCTTTTAACAAGTGTTCTGCAGCATGATTTAGACACAGAAATTATGATGAAATGAGAAAGTGATGTTTGAGGTCGGAGAATAATATAGTATATGTACTGAGGGTTTAATTTCATAGCCCTCTTTTAAAATAATTGTAATTACAATACAGCGCCTTGTAGAAACAGTTGGCAATTGACTTTTCTGTATGAAACATGTATAATTCTTGGAACACTATATATAATATTATTGAAGGAACATATCTGTTAAAATTTTATCATTTAGCATGATTGACATTTGAGTTTCCATCTCAATTTTTTTTGCGCAAATGTGTACTTGAACTTCAATTTTCACAGTAGAGAGATAATTCTGGTTTAAAATGTCACTTAATATGCACGCATTACCCTCTAAAACAAGTAGTAGTATCTTCTATTGGATATGTATTAACTTGAAGCTCTGAGTTTATAATATATTTTCATAATTGCTCGAACTTCGCTTTTTGTAGTAAAGAGATTGTTGACCTCGCTTTTTATATGGATGATGTGGACAACAGATGTTGAGTCTACTCACATCTAAGCGAGCAAATTATAACACATTTTAACCGAGAATGTGGTCCTAAGAAATAATCGAATTGTGAACGTGGGAGATATTCCACGAGACAAAGATGTTCGGATATAGACTGTAAATTCATGGGTGATTTCACGTTAAGGGTCAAACATAAACGATTCAACTAAAAATATGTTATCTAATCTTAAGCAAGTTTTAGTATGAACAAGAGAGATGGAAGGATATAATTTCCTTTGTATAAAGAGTTATATGATATTCAAAGTGCTACAATGTTTGCTATTTATAGTAATACATCGTTGATCTTGATTGTTGGATGAAGTGTACGTAGCTGCATCCGACCCTCTGGAACATCCTAAGAGGGTCGGATGCAGCCACGATAGGACGTTCGAATATTATTGCAGGAATGTCGAATTTTCAATCAAATTAGAGTTGTCTAATTTAACTTAAAATAAATGATGAAATTGACATTTCCACCAAAACTTGATGTTTTTTTAAGAATTAGGGAAATAATCAATGCATACTATGTCTTGTTAGATAGCTCTTTTTGAATGGGACCTGTGCTGTACTAATCACGCTAATTATGGGACTTGTGCTGTACTAAGCACGCTAATTATCTCCTCTTAAATCTCAGCCAACGAGATGTCATACAAATTGTCTTAAACACGGACCTCACATGTCGGCTAAATAATATATATATATATTTTAATTTATTATGTGAAAATTGGTGATGACACATAGCTCCAATTTGTTTTCACTGAAAATTAAAATTTTAGTAGATTTTAATAAGAGGCGATAAAATATGTGGTTAAAAAATTTATAAAAGTGATGGGACCCATAAAATGTGTAATTAAAAATAAATTGAAAAAATTTAAATTTTAAATTATTAGACCCAAACAAGATATATATTCATTTAAATTTAGTTTTCAACGTGGTTTATGATTTCTGGTTTTCAAACTCTCTTTAATTATTTATATAGCTCTTGTTTGATACCAACTTTTTTCAAAATATATTTTTGTCTTTCCTCTTTAACCACACATTTTTCAATAAAATAATATTATACTTAAAACTAAAACATTTTCTTAATACTTAACCACGCATTCTTCATCAATTAATTATTTTAAAATGCATTTTTACTTAAAAATGGGAAACAAATGGGGGTATATTGTCCTATATTGTAGCTGAGATCACCAACTTCTTACCTCAAAAATTAGTTAACCTCAAATCAACTTGTTACCTTAGATTTTAACTGGCTTTCCATTTTACCTGCCTCAACTTTCTGCCGTAACTTTTCTTGATATATACCTATTTCATTCCTAGTCGAAATCACGAAACTTTTGGCTATTCTTTGGCTATCCACATGCTATATAAACAACCATATTTCTTTCTCTCAAGGAGACAGATTAAGCGGATCACTGGTTAAAAATTCCAGTGATTCGCCTCTTGGCGCAGAGAGAAAAAGGGAAATAGCATCAAGAAATAAAGCTCCAAAATGGCTTTCAATAATAGAAACTTAGTACCTCTCCTGTGTTTCCTTACCTTTGTTGCAACAATACAAAAATCCGATGCAGGTATTGCTGAATTTGATGACTACTTGAAGAAAAAGGCTGAGTTTGCCTTGGAGAGTTCTTTCAAGGCATATGATCCTCATCCTGAAGCAGTCACAGATCAATTTAACAAGCAAGTCGGGGAGTAAGTTGTTAAATTTTGTCATTTGGCGTGCAGTAATTGTCAACGTCTAGTTGCTTTAGATTTTCAAGTTGGGGAGTAAGTAGTTAAATTTTGTCATTTGGTGCACTGTAATTGTTGAGGATCTAGTTGCTTTAGATTTTCGATTAGTGGGTTGATCTAAAGCCTTGACTCAGGCTCCATAACCTTGTTCTCTCCAAAGGACGCGATTTTTGGGAATTTAGCTTAGTTTGTTTTTGTTGTTGTACAAATTATATTCTTTTTTTACGAGATTTTATTTCACATTGGTTTACTTGTCTGATGTAGGGTATTGACAAGTGGAAATGTGACAAGAAGGCATCTAAAAGAAGGTGAGTGCATGGCCACAAACCCTATAGACAGATGCTGGAGATGTGACCCTAACTGGGCTAAAAACAGGAAGAAGCTAGCCGATTGTGCACGCGGCTTTGGCCACCAGACTCACGGTGGTAAAGACGGGAGGTACTACATTGTAACAGATCCGTCTGATGATAATGTCGAGAGCCCAAAACCCGGTACCCTCCGCCACGCCGTGATCCAAGATGAGCCATTATGGATCACATTCGATAAACATATGGTTATTAAACTCAAACAAGAACTTATTGTCAATAGTGACAAGACTATTGAATAATCGAATTGTGAACGTGGGAGATATTCCACGAGACAAAGATGTTCGGATATAGACTGTAAATTCATGGGTGATTTCACGTTAAGGGTCAAACATAAACGATTCAACTAAAAATATGTTATCTAATCTTAAGCAAGTTTTAGTATGAACAAGAGAGATGGAAGGATATAATTTCCTTTGTATAAAGAGTTATATGATATTCAAAGTGCTACAATGTTTGCTATTTATAGTAATACATCGTTGATCTTGATTGTTGGATGAAGTGTACGTAGCTGCATCCGACCCTCTGGAACATCCTAAGAGGGTCGGATGCAGCCACGATAGGACGTTCGAATATTATTGCAGGAATGTCGAATTTTCAATCAAATTAGAGTTGTCTAATTTAACTTAAAATAAATGATGAAATTGACATTTCCACCAAAACTTGATGTTTTTTTAAGAATTAGGGAAATAATCAATGCATACTATGTCTTGTTAGATAGCTCTTTTTGAATGGGACCTGTGCTGTACTAATCACGCTAATTATGGGACTTGTGCTGTACTAAGCACGCTAATTATCTCCTCTTAAATCTCAGCCAACGAGATGTCATACAAATTGTCTTAAACACGGACCTCACATGTCGGCTAAATAATATATATATATATTTTAATTTATTATGTGAAAATTGGTGATGACACATAGCTCCAATTTGTTTTCACTGAAAATTAAAATTTTAGTAGATTTTAATAAGAGGCGATAAAATATGTGGTTAAAAAATTTATAAAAGTGATGGGACCCATAAAATGTGTAATTAAAAATAAATTGAAAAAATTTAAATTTTAAATTATTAGACCCAAACAAGATATATATTCATTTAAATTTAGTTTTCAACGTGGTTTATGATTTCTGGTTTTCAAACTCTCTTTAATTATTTATATAGCTCTTGTTTGATACCAACTTTTTTCAAAATATATTTTTTTCTTTCCTCTTTAACCACACATTTTTCAATAAAATAATATTATACTTAAAACTAAAACATTTTCTTAATACTTAACCACGCATTCTTCATCAATTAATTATTTTAAAATGCATTTTTACTTAAAAATGGGAAACAAATGGGGGTATATTGTCCTATATTGTAGCTGAGATCACCAACTTCTTACCTCAAAAATTAGTTAACCTCAAATCAACTTGTTACCTTAGATTTTAACTGGCTTTCCATTTTACCTGCCTCAACTTTCTGCCGTAACTTTTCTTGATATATACCTATTTCATTCCTAGTCGAAATCACGAAACTTTTGGCTATTCTTTGGCTATCCACATGCTATATAAACAACCATATTTCTTTCTCTCAAGGAGACAGATTAAGCGGATCACTGGTTAAAAATTCCAGTGATTCGCCTCTTGCGCAGAGAGAAAAAGGGAAATAGCATCAAGAAATAAAGCTCCAAAATGGCTTTCAATAATAGAAACTTAGTACCTCTCCTGTGTTTCCTTACCTTTGTTGCAACAATACAAAAATCCTATGCAGGTATTGCTGAATTTGATGACTACTTGAAGAAAAAGGATGAGTTTGCCTTGGAGAGTTCTTTCAAGGCATATGATCCTCATCCTGAAGCAGTCACAGATCAATTTAACAAGCAAGTCGGGGAGTAAGTTGTTAAATTTTGTCATTTGGCGTGCAGTAATTGTCAACGTCTAGTTGCTTTAGATTTTCAAGTTGGGGAGTAAGTAGTTAAATTTTGTCATTTGGTGCACTGTAATTGTTGAGGATCTAGTTGCTTTAGATTTTCGATTAGTGGGTTGATCTAAAGCCTTGACTCAGTCTCCATAACCTTGTTCTCTCCAAAGGACGCGATTTTTGGGAATTTAGCTTAGTTTGTTTTTGTTGTTGTACAAATTATATTCTTTTTTTACGAGATTTTATTTCACATTGGTTTACTTGTCTGATGTAGGGTATTGACAAGTGGAAATGTGACAAGAAGGCATCTAAAAGAAGGTGAGTGCATGGCCACAAACCCTATAGACAGATGCTGGAGATGTGACCCTAACTGGGCTAAAAACAGGAAGAAGCTAGCCGATTGTGCACGCGGCTTTGGCCACCAGACTCACGGTGGTAAAGACGGGAGGTACTACATTGTAACAGATCCGTCTGATGATAATGTCGAGTTGGCAGATCAGGTGGGGAGGGCTCGGACCCTGGCTAGTTGGAGGCACATCCCGCGATTAACTGGACTGTGTGAAGAGGGGCCGAATCACAGACCCAAGGATTAGTCAAGAATTGGACACCTTGTAAAAAAAAAACAAAAAAAAAAAAGGCGTACTTCTCATCCGCCATTTTTTTATTACTCTTCAACTTCAATCCCCTGCACCAAATTAGACTAGAAATACGTAAAACTAATGACCCAACCAAGGAATACCTTGCTTCAATTATAATTGTTTAAAAAAAAAACGGCAAAAAGGATAAGTAAAATATGTGACCTTTTGAGGTTCGTTTTCAACGTCTTGTTGTCAAGACTGAAAAATGGCTTAAAAAAGGAGAGCAGCCAAAAATGATATAAATGAAGTTTGAGTATAGCCCTTTCCCCTTAATATTAATATAATAATTAAGGCTTGCTTAAGAACCGGCGGAATTGAATTGCCCCTTCAGCTGTGGATCGTTCCACTTTCTCTGGAGGGGCAGCCTCAGTTCCATCAAAAAAACCCGTAACGAAGTCAGTAAGAAACTAGTTGAAGATCTTTCTTGGCGGAACGAAGCAATCGGACGACAGAACTATGTATGCTCTGTATTATCGGAAAACCATTCCATCCTTGACGCAGGAATAAGAGTGGTCCCGCATTTCAATCTGAGAAAGAAAGAGAGTCTCTCCCTAAAGTCTCATCCCACCGCGAACTCACAAAGGGGTGTTCCAAGGACGGCAAAAGAAAGCTAAATCCATTTTAGGAAAAACCTGGTTCTAAACCAGCCCCAACTTCGAGACCAGACCTTCGAAAGACTCTCTTTGAAGAATGGGGAAAAGGATTTCTCAAGAAGGCCAACTTCATTACTTACAAATCGGGTGAGGTTACGAAGCATTCTATTCGAAAAGCATTCCAACTCGGTTTTCAAGGTGAAAGAAAGAGCCTGGTATGAATTTATTAAAGTGGAATTTACATAAAATCAAACATTTCAAAATTACTATTCAAAAATCAAATAATAAGTTTGTTTAATCATAAATCAAGTACCCATCTTATCCATTCAAATTCCAAACCCTAAATTTTCATTCTCACTCATCTTCTCTACTCACTCTCTCCATACCTCTGGCACCGTTGCCCATTGCCGAGACCACCGTGAACTCACAGGGACGATAGTTGATGGTGCAGGTGATTGTTTTCCCAATCCCATCTCACTCTTCTCTCTCTCATTGTTTTCCCAATCCCGTCTCACTCTTCTCTCTCTCTCTCTCTCAACACATGCAGTCACATATTTTCTCTTCTCCCTAATTTCTTCTCTCTCAATAGTAGCGACGTCACCATTGGAAGAGGATCTTTGGTGCAACAGTGTTACCATGATCGTCTGCATAGCGACATCACCATCGGCCACCACGAGTGGCAACGCTGTGAGCAGTGTGCTGTCATTCGTTTTACACACCTTGATCTGAGCCTCGCGCACATCGGTGCTCAGCCATGGTTTTGGGGTGGTTTTCAGCTGTTTATTTTGGGACATGGATTTGGGGTGGTCGTTAGTTGTGAATTTGATTTTGTAGTAGTTGTGGAGTAATTTTGTGGTGTGTTTTGTTGGTGGTAGTGGTGCTACTGTGGCAGTAAGGTTGCAGTGTTGGCGATGTAGTATTGTTGGTATGTTGAAGAGGAACAAGTGGTAGATGGTGGTCAGCTTGGCTTGGTGCGGTGGCTGGTGGATAGAGATGGTGGTAGTCATGTGGTGGTGGTGGTGTTGGCGGTGGTTGTGATGGTGTTGTGGTGAGAGTGGGCAGTTTGTGACCAAGCATTGTGGTGGAATTTGATCGAGATAGGGTTGGAGATGCGATGGTGTAGTGTAAGCTGCGATTGGGTGGTGGTAACTTAGGACCAAGATTGGTGTTGGATCGGGACTTGTGGTGGAGTTGTTCGAAATTTGTGACCAACAATTTGGAATTTGTAATAGAATATTTTGACGCCTGTGACCCATTATTTTGCTGATTTGTAACAAAAAATTAGGTATTTATGACTAAAAAATTATTTGTGACCTATGTGACACAGAAAAAAATGTGACTTGTAATTTGAATGATTTGTGATTTCGAAATAAATTGTGACCTAGAAAATTTTTGATTTGTGAACACGAAATAATCTGTAACCTATAATTATGAATATGTGACCATTAATCGTTTAACCGTGATTTTATTATCTTTATTTAATAAATATTTTTAATTACTTAAAAATATACCTTAATTTTGAATTTTCATACTATTTACTTGATTTTTGAAATGGTATAACGAATACATTTGAAATATGATTTTTTTCCCTTTATCAAAAAGATTATGTTGGCCTCATGAATCCACTAGCCCATAATGTATCCAGATGAGTGTGGCTGCAGTGGGCGTGGGTCGGGTTGGGTTGATTTTTTTTTCCAACCCAAACCCAACCTAACATGATTGGTTTGATCGAAAATCAATCCAACCGAGCCCACCTTGGTCGGTTTGGGCTTCGGCTCACTTAGAATTGGATTCGATTTATTTGTTGAATTTGAATAATTTTTTAGAATTGGAAATTACTTGAAAACTTCCATTTTTTAAACAAATACACAAGAAGTTTTTGGTAAAAATAATGTATAAATAAGTTTTAAAATTTATGAAACATTTTCTTTTTTACAAATTTTTGGAATTCATTCATTTCATCATCACGTCATTAATTTTTACCTTATCGTCAAATAACATTGCATTTGTACATATTGTTCATGTGAATCGATCTATGTGAAGAAAATGGACGTTTATAAATTATAAGTCATTCTCTTATCTTTACTATTGTGTCTATTGAGATTAATCTTCCATCTTAGATATTAATTTTTTAATTCATTAGGTTGGGTTGGATTTTAATTCATAACCCGAGACCCAATCCAACCGATTGAATTTAAAAATCAACCCAAACCGATCGATTTGGTTTGGGTTGGTCGGGTTGAGCGGCTTGGGTTGTGTTATACCCAACCCGAGTGTGGCAATCAAGCAAATAGATTGGAAGTTACAATTGTTCGGAAGAGTCTTGATTTTGAGGTAAATGTTCCAAGATTTGAAATGTAGGGATTGGATATAAGCGCTCATGTTTGATTATTGTGAAAATCAGATTTTTAATATATTTTTAAAAAATTTTAAAATAATACTTGATTAAAAAATTAATAAAAATTGTAAATACTACAAAATTTGTGAAATGAGTTTTGAAAAAAAAAAAACGAATTTCTACATTCGATTTGAATGTGATGAGTACCCACGAGCTAATAGATCTTGGTAAGCAATATTTCAAGCAATTATGGAAATTTTAGAAAAATTATATAAAGACTTCTTTCGACAATAATAACTAAAAAAAATTACATTCCTTAAGCACCCAAATTTAAAGTTCGTCTCAAGCCTCAAGAACCCAAAGTCCAACTTTGATTAAATTTTGTCCGTCCCTATTATCTATCAAATATGATTTACTTACATGTTCAATTATACTTGAAAATAAGTTAAACTAATAAACTTTTTATTTCTAGGTAAATCTAAACACTATCATTTTTCCCCTTACCTAGAAGTAAAAAACTACTTAGTTAATGGTAAAATAACATTACTTCAAAATAAATAACTTATTTATTTACAACTTCAACTAAAAAACTAATATTATTTTAGAAATAAAAAATATAATGAAAGAACAACAAATCAATTGCCACATACATCAAGGGCACATTTAGTACACAATATTAGATATGTACACTATAAAAATACAAAATTTTAACTTTCTTAATATTGTTCGGAGTGCTATTCATTCCTCCCTACTAAACATGTCACAAGGGTCCGTCAAAGAAAGTTAGAAAAATACAATTGCTCATAACATGCACAAGCATGATGAAGAATTAAAGAAAGGACACGATCACTCGATGAACAATGATGTTCCCGAGTTGTCATTTTCTACAAGACAAGTCCTTATATTGTGCCCTTTCTCAGAGCTAAGGTGGCAAGTGAATGTCCTCTTTCGAGAGACAATTGGAACTCTGTTTCCAGCACCAGCCACAACTTTTTGATTCTACATAGGTTTGGAGTGGACATGTACTCACAAATTTTTCAATGATGGTTTCTTGGCACTGTGCTCTTCTGGTCATTTGATTTTGATCTTGGACAGGCTCTTCGGTTATGCCCTTTTCTCCAACAATTGGGATCTGAATCGTTTAACTTATAGTGAACTTCTGCGCAATAATTTCTCCTGTGCCCCTCCCCGTCTACAATTTCTGCAGTAAAATTTCACCCCTGCAATATAATGAAATCTCAAAAAATGACAAATTTGATAGAAACCATCATATAGAATGGCCACTTGAGAAGAATATCCGAAGAGCCTCTGTACTTGCTTGATGTGAAATCTCTCTTGGGTGAACAAAGTTACTTTGATTTAAAAAGTTAAGAGAAGAAAACTAAACGAGGCCTTTCATTGAAATGCTTCTCTTGCAGCAGTAAGTTTTCATAGCTTCAGAAGCACGCTTCCTTGCAGCAGCAGTGCCTTTAGCTTTCTGTTCAAGTTAAAAACCATTTCAAATAGAAACGTAAGAGTACTAATTGTTAAGGGATAAAATCCCACATTCAATAAAGATAGAAACATAGACCAACTTATAAGACTTTGGACTACTCTTCTTAATAAGGTTGATCTTTTAAGATGAAACCCAAAGTCTCAACACTAATAATGCGGCGTGAAATTATATTTGTCAATTTCATTTGTGCTATTTCAATGAGAAGGAGAAACTTTGGAACTCTTCATGTACTGAGCTCTACTCGAACTCCATTTGTCAGCAGCATGCATGATTTTTATGGAATGATTGTAGGAATACTACGCGGTCCATATATGATTGTCACCTAGTACAGTACCAAGGCTATATTCCTGAAAACATAAGTTGAAAACCCGTCATTCACGAACTAAATAATTCTTTGCATGCTCTAACCTTGATGGTCGCCACTCTGTGTGCACGAAGCATAGGTTTACCGTGGATTATCTTCATCCCTTTACTAGAGACTGTTTGAGCGCTATATTTTACTAGAATGCACTTCGAAATAGTAGATTGATTGAGAAAGTGTGATTAAAAAATAAGGAAAAGTTTTGAGTTTCCGTGTTATATATATATTTTTTTATTGAAAAATATGTGATTGAAAAAAAGAGAGAGAAAAATATATTTTGAAAATAATGGGGCAATCAACCAACTAAACAAAGAAGATTAAAGTCGTGATCTTGTTAATTGATAAGAAAGAAACAACCTTACTTGAACTAAATGCAATATCATGGTAAATAACTAACAGAATACAGAAGCAATTAGTCCAGGAAGGTGCAGGGCTCTTGGGGATCAAATAAGAATAGAAGTATCCACACACCATCATTTAAGCAGTTATTTCTCATGCACTATAATGCCACCCCTGGTAATTTTGTTAATGTATTTCAAGAATTGGAACATTAATACAAATCATAATTTTGTAAAACAAAAAAAATTGAAAGGAGAATTTAAGAAAACTTGACTAACTTTTAATTATCTTCAAATTAATTTCAGAGAAGATGATTGATAAACATGCTTGGATTTTCTCTTCATGTGCAGCTATATATCCATGTTGTCCACTTCATCATCTTCCTTCACTTTTAGAGAACAGAAGTTCCATGCACATTTATACTGATTACTAACTGCTTGAAGTTGAAAAGGAGCACATATATCTTTAAATAATGCACCATGCACATTATAGAACACAGCTAATCATCAAGAAATTCTAAATACTGCAGATTTCCAGGCAAAAGGAGATATTAGATAACAAAATGACAATATTCACAAGTGGAGTTTCTGATAAATGATGCTATGAAGACAAATAGTCAACTTGAATTTGGACAACATGCTTTTCCACAAGGTTCATAACAATAGGAAATTTAGATGTAAGAAATAAGAAGAGTCTCGCTCCTAATAATCTGGTCTATGAACATAAGAATGACCGACAAAAAGGAATGACAGAAATTTTATGTACTCGATCCAATACTCGTAATGCTATATTCCTCTTCTACATTTCAAGGACTAATTGTGCGTAGGTTGTTAAATCAAGTATAAGCATGCGATCAATAGATGATGAGAAAGAGATAAATTTGTAGGATGACACTGGCAAATTATTAGCTGACTTGCTAGTTGAACCAGGATGAGAAAAAATTACATTGAGCGAGATTTTTTCCCATGGTTGCTCATCAAGTGACTCCAGCCAAATAACACAATATCAAAGGCACTGATGGGAGGTAACTCCCTGTTACAATTGATAATTGCAGAAACAGTGTTAACATTTAGACTAGAAAATTCGGACCCCTACAAATAATTGACAGAACAAATTGCTTTTAGTTACTTTTTGTTACGCTAAAATGAGAGATGAAGAACTTATACCTTTCCATTACATAGAGAACAATCTGATCGAGATCTTTCTATTCCACACTCCGCACATGGAGTATAACCTCTTCCCCTGACCATTTGGACCAAACCAAGATCTTGGTTTGGAGGCTGCAGAAGTAACCTTCCTAAACAAAACATGTAACAAAACAAGGCCTAGCTAGGAAGACGAGCTCAAATAAGATAATGCACCAATTCGGCCAAAGGTCGATCAAGAGAGCTCGGACATGGAAATCCAAGAAAACACAGTTGTTTAGCTCAACAAACATAGTTGTAGCGACCAGATGCAGAGATCACCTAACACGTAGAGTATGATGTGTCTCCAAATCCATAATGTGTAACAAAACAAGGCCTAGCTAGGAAGACGAGCTCAAATAAGATAATGCACCAATTCGGCCAAAGGTCGATCAAGAGAGCTC